GCCAACATACCTACCACCGCTCATTGGGGTGGTTGTATTCTGTCGAAGGGAGCGCTCTCTCCCGTTGGCATAGAGAGGCCACATGAGCAATCTAACAGCGGCACAGCTGCATCAATACAGCTGTGGTGCGGTAACCTCGCTAGTATAGACATGGCCAAAGAAAGAACTGAGGATCTGCCTCATAACATTCTTCTAGATGCTAAACTAGTGATTAACACACCCCCCATTTCCATCTGGTTATAAAGATCCATCACTGGATTTCCTTAATCCAGTGTCATAAATTATACCCTTGTTCAGTGGTATTATCAGCTGGAGACGAAATTGTTATAATTATCCCTTGTGGCCTTAAAATATATTAATTAATTCCCATTGTAACGATATCCCTTGAGTCCCTGTCTAGTGCTTTCTCCACTAGATCACACTGCCTCCTTCCTCTGAATCAGGCTGGTAAGCTAGAACAAAACATCTCATGTTTAATATTTATATGTTACCCCCCAATCCTACAACTGTCCCAAACGAGCAGACCCTGAGCACGGTGACAGCTAACTGCAGGACCAGGATGTAAGTGTTTACACCAAAGCATTCCTACAAATAAATGAATATTCAGACTGAGCTCTCCAGTCTCTATTAGCGGAGTTGGGGACTGTTCCCCACAGACAGTTTTGATAGTGCACATGGAGCACCTGTTATCCTGATGTTCTGCAAATCTTTCCATTCCTTTAGATGGATGTTTGGATATATTCCCACAGAAAAACCTCTTACCCCGCAAACTCAGAAAACAAGGGACTGATATTTCAGAGACATTGCTTTCCAACTTAAAAAAAAAATCAAGATTATAGAAAAGTAACAGAAAAGTCTTTATTAAACAGGGGTTAAAATGCCCCAGTCTGTGTCTGTTCCTCTCTACATACAAACTTTCATACTTTTTATTAATTAATATCTAATCAAAAAACTCACACCAGTCCTATTACATTTTCTTTAATTCTGTCTTTTATTCTACTAACTTTTCCCTTTTAAATTAGATTCCCTTATCAGTTTTCTTTCTTTCTTTCTTTCTTTCTTAGGGCTTTCTATTCGTGCCTGTAGTACCTGACCACTTCCCATATTAGATAGATCAGTAGAGACAGAGGCAGCTAGAAGACATTATAGAACCTCCTGTACTTCTCCTTTCCAAAGTTATAGGAAAGACTGTTTGGAGTGGGCTTTTTTGGAGCGGTTCAGTTATAGGAAACGGCTTGCAGGGGGAATTTTTCATTACTTCAGTAAATATTATTGTGGCTATGAGGGATTTCTCCTTGTCTATTTTGTCTTCCTGCTTCTTTTAGATTTGGAGGCCACAATGCTGCCTTCTAAATGCTTTTCATGAACTATTCTGCACCAAGTTTTGCAACATTCTGCTAAATGGTGCAAAGCTACATTCAGGCTTTTTTGCTGCCACAAGCAAAAAAAAAAAAAACCTCCAGCAAAGCAGGAAAAAAAAACAAAAAACCTGCGGCGCAGCCGGAGCGGCAACACAGGGGAAAAAAAACCTGTGGGGCGGCCGGAGCCAGGGTGCAGGGGGACTCCCTGCGCTGCAGGGGGAGGGGGAGGGAGTGGGGGGAGAGAGAGAAGGGGTGCCTGGAGCCGGCCCTGGCTACATTACTTAGCCCAGGGAAAGCCATTTCAATAGAGCTCTAGTACTACTGCTTGCTTTGCTGTTCTTACTCCAACCCTGAAGGTTCTCCACTTCCCTAAAATTATTAACAGCTTACCTGCAGACTGCAAGAAAACGTGATCATTTCTTATTTAGAACCCAAGGAACAATTATCGGAAACAAATATAAGTCAAAATAAAAGGCTTGCAGCTACAAAAATGAAATTTCTGAGCTTTCTGAATTCAAGGCAGATATCAGACTCCTTTATCAGCCAGATTTTAACAGCCTGAAGGCCACTGAAATACCACAATGACATCTGCAAAATTATAAATCACTGTTGGGTTTCAGAATTGGTGGGAAACCAACAAAATAAAAAGTGATGAAGACTCACCGTTTAACACTGACATAAAAGCCTTACCCTGAAGCAAGAATCACTGCTGCAGTCTCCTAGACAATGTTAATCATACTGAGCACGTAACGTTGTCACAATCCTGTAGGATTATTAACTAGTTGCAGGATCAGGACTGAAGTGGTTACACTAAAGAGTTCCCATAAAAAAAGAAATATTATGTCTGCCCTCCCCTGCCTCTATTAAGAGTCTTAGCAGATATTCTCCTCCGAGAGTTTTGATTGTCTATGTGGAGCAACCATTATCCAGATAAAACAAAGGGATTCTTCCCAAATCAAATTTCATTCAGTAGCTAAGAAACCCTATAGTTTAATGCAATGAACAAAGAAAATGGGGCACCACTAAGTAATATTTTAATTCTTCACGTATCTTTCACTTCTGGAAATGAATGGTGATGGCTTGACAGTGCTCATCGACCCACTATATTTATCTATGTATAAAGTACTTCTATTTCAAAAATACAGTGCATCAAAGCTCACTCCCCACATCCTCATGATAAATGCCATTGCGATGATGACTTTCTTTAGCTAATCAGCCAGTCACAACTGGGTGAAATTCCATAGTCCAAAGCTAAACACGATTCCGGTGGTTGTGAATGGGGAGTTATGCTTGAGTAAGGGAATTCAGAATTTGGTCTGCTGATCTAAAACAACAGACAAGCATCAGAGCAGCACCTTTTACCTTAGAATCTCAAAACACTTCATTAAGCCTATGGCTACAGATGGCAGAGTACTTTTACACCCGTTTCCCAGATGAGCAAAAGGAAAGCACAGAAAGATCAAGGGCCTTGCCTAGGTGACCACGAATCCAGCCAGCCTAGTTTCACTGTCCCAAGGGGAGCGAAGGGTCAAATGTAACCCAGCAGCATAGAGGGAGAGAGACACAAGAGATGGTTTTGTGATCATTCTTTCCACTTTAAGACCCCAGGAGGGTGTGGATAAGGCAAGGGGAGAGCTGCTGTCAATAAATGGCGTTTAACCCCGGCGTGTCTTCCTAGAACCTGACACGGCCCCGTTAGAATGGGCGCCCTGGGCACCAACCTTCACAGGCACCAAATCCCCCTTTTTTGTAGTGGTGTTGGGGGGTTGCCGAAAACACTTTCCCCGAGTGATAAAACACCCAGGGCTGGCTCCACTCACCTGCAGGCACCTGCCAGGGGGCAGAGAGGGAAGAAAACCGAGAGAGAGGAAAGCAGAGAGGGGGAGAAATGGGCCCGGGGTGGAGCGGGGGAAGGGGCCTGAGAATCATAGAATCATAGAATATCAGGGTTGGAAGGGACCTCAGGAGGTCATCTAGTCCAACCCCCTGCTCAAAGCAGGACCAATCCCCAGACAGATTTTTGCTCCAGATCCCTAAATGGCTCCCTCAAGGATTGAACTCACAACCCTGGGTTTAGCAGGAGGAGACCAGCGGGACGCGCAGGGCTCCAGCATCGGCCCCTCACCTGCATCCCGGGCGGCAGCAGCCAACAGCTCAGCGAAGCCGCCCAGCAGGCAGAGGAGGAGCAAGGCGCGGCGCATCCTCCCGCCCCGTCGCGCGGCAGCGAGTGCGGGGCTCCCGGGGCCGGCGGGGATATCCTGGCAGCCGCCTCCGCCCCGGGGGAGGGACCAGGGCGAGGCGGCGGTTCCAAGCGGGGGCTTTCCGCGGGCGGCGTGAGCAGGGCCGTCCTTAGCCATAGGCAGAACAGGCAGCCGCCTAGGGCACCATGCTACCTGGGGGCATCGCTCTGCCTGGAGCCCAGACAGAAGGGAAGCAGTGGAGCATTTAACAGCAGGGCTGCTGGGTCCT